AAACAAACAAACGAAACTTAGCCGGTCATGGCGGTGCCCACCTGTAATCCCAGCGACCTGGGAGGCTGAGGGTGAGAATCACGGAACTGGTGGCTGCAGTGAGCCGAGATTGAGCCACCGCACTCCAGCCTGGGTGACAGACTGAGACTCCATCTAAAAAAAAAAAAAAAATTAGATATTTGTGTCCAGGCCATCTGATATCAGGGCCTTACTCTTAAGCATTGCACTATCCAGAGGCCCGCCCTCTCTCTCTCCCTCCGTCCCTCCCTCCCTCCCTTCCTTCCTTCCTTCCTTCCTTCCTTCCTTCCTTCCTTCCTTCCTTCCTTCTTCCCCAAAGAATTCAATATGGTTTTGGCAACCACGGCAGTGTGTACGGGGAGGTGGTCGTGGGGAGGATCAAAAAGGGAACAAAGGGAAGAGTGGAAGGTGGTGCTGGGTTCTCAACCCTGTGCCCCTGGCAGGTAGGAACCTGGAAGCAGAGCAGGCCTGGGTGGAGGTTGGGGAAGGGAAGCCAGGAGGGAGCCCTAGTGTGGGGCCCTGGGGATCCAGGGGCAGCAGGAGGATGTGGGTCCTCTGGACGAAGAGAGACCAAACAGAGAGGAGCCCTGAGTGGAGGACGGTTTTCGTCTGTGGTCTGTATTCAGACAGCTGCAGACTGAGGTCCTGGTGGGAGAAAGCATTGGCCAAGAGCACACAGCTGGACAAGTGGGGGTGTTGCTCTGACAATGAGGAATTCTGGATCTGGAAGCAGGACTAGCTTAGGTGCGGGAGAGGGGCAGCTGTGTGTCCCCACATGCCGGGCTCCCTGTGTACAGGCAGTGTGGCGTGTCTGAAGGTGCAGCCCTGCCTTCAAGCCTCCACTGTCTTCTCCCCAGGACAGAGATGACTGTAACTTTCTAGGCACCACCACCAACCCGTGTGCTGTGACCGTCTGTATGACGTCTGTCTGTACGTCTGTCTTCCCGGACAGAACTGGAGTGTCTCACAGAGGAGACCATGTCTGAAGGGCTTTGCATCCCTCCTTGGACGTGTCTAATACCTAGCACTCAGAAAGCATCCAGTAAATATGTGTGGAGAGAAAGGAGTGGAGAAAGGGAGAAAAGGGGAAAGGGAGTGGGGGAGAGAGAGAAGAAGGACTGCTTCTTGCCCAGGGCCTAGCATGGGGCAGAGGCAGAGCAGTGGGGTCCTCAGCTATGTCCCACTCTGTGCACACTGAGTCCTGACCCTCAGAGGGTGCAGCCCCGGGGGCCCTGGCCTGTCTGGAAAGGTCCAGCCGAGGGGCCTGCCCTGACCACCGGGCTCACCGATGACTGCCGGGGTGGCTACAGCGAGCTCCTGACACTGAGTACAGCACTCATTCATCGGGGCCCTTCCACCGACGCACTGTCCACTTCCTGGGCCACTGCTGTGGGCGTGCGAGGGCCTGCTCCCCAGCTCCCGCAGTGACCCTGGCGGCTCCTCGGTGGGGCC